GGAAGGGAAAGAAAGCTGAAAGATCCATCTTCTTTTGATACAACATTACACAAATAGGAGAGAGACTCATCTCGTGATTGGAATCCATCCACAGGAGAAATATTGCAGCCCACAACATCCTGGGACAATGAATGAGAGAACACAGAAAATAATCTGGGGACATGTACGACTCAGAATGGTATTCTGAGAATGAAGGATGGGAAATACAAAAGCCATTTTAAAGACAGTTTGACAGCACAGCTTACAATTCTTGTCTAGGTAAAAGGAAAAAATCAACCAATAACTAACTTCATGGTAACAAGGACAGAAAACTGGGAAACTCAGCACCCCCCAGAACCCTAAGACTGCTCTACATGTCTTAACATTAATTGACTTCAGCTCTGAGGATAAAGTTAACATTACAGAACAGACCTCTACTCTGCATATTAAACCACAATACACCACCAAATGTTCCAGAGTCTTTTCATAAATAACACTTTTAAGGTGGCAACAGAAGCTACTGATCTTTGATTCCACATCACAAGGGCAAAAAGTGACTGAGATCTTATGTTGAAGGAAAATTACAGCATTACAGCCCCTGCACAGTGAAATCCAAAGTTTGGTAATAATTTCAGTCTTTTTTCAGAAACTGATCTTTCAAATAGTAGATTGTAATCCTCATGAGGGAACATACTTATCAAACAACATTCAATGTGCAAAAAGATGCAAGTGGAAAAATACTGTCTTAGAACTGTAGCCCTTTACCTTGCTGACCCACAGTGAATACACAGATCTATAACATCCATTATATTTTGCATTTGTTGCCTGCTTCAGCTCAAGTCTTAGTTTTCTATGCCCCTGAACAACCTGAGCGTTGGGAAATTCATTTGAAAACAATAATGGAAAGGGAACAGAAGAGTTGAAGTTAAAATAATTTCTAATTTCTTGTATCTGAGAAATACAAAGACCTCAAGCTTCAAGGTTGCCAACTGTCAAACAGAAAGCTGCTGTGTTACATGTCTGAGTATTCCATTCAAGTCAGGTGAAAAGCGAGCACATTCACAGACATTGTATAACAAGGGCCTTGTTACAAAACGAAAACAAATAAATACAAAAACACAGCTGGAAAGGTTGTGCAGTTTGTCTTTTATAAGCCAAGCTCAAGATGAGCAGAGGTAAGAGCCAGGGCACTATGAGTACACAAAGCTACTTAGCTTTCCACTTACCTCCATACTTGTACTGAAAAGGTTTCTGAAACACCATTACCTCTTTGGTCACTGAGGAGGAGAAAAGCAGGAACATGACCCCTTTCATTGGTTCTCCATCACTCCTTACTGACCCAGACACGTTGTAGCCAGCAACAATCAGAGGGCTAGCAGCATAAGCATTAGAACTGGTCACCCGTACCACTGTGTTTGACTGAAATACCAAAGCATGTACACTTGCATCAGAACTAGATATCAAATCTTGTTCACAGCACTATATAACAAACAGAAGCTAAGTATTCAATACAGAAATAGAAGAACCAAGAATAGCAGTACTCAAAGAGAATCCACCAGCTATTCAAAACAGAAGGATGCTAAAGCTGTTTTGAGTGCTTTTAGTGTTTCACTGATTTAGGAATCGGTCAGGACTTCAGAGCTCAGAAAGCAAACAATCTGAGAGGAAAGGATTGAAGCATCTGCTATGACACCAAATTTCAAACCGAATGTATAGGGTTAGAAAACATAAAGCAGGAGCTCATAGCCAGTCTTCCCCCAGCTGGCTCCACTAGCTCCAGATGAGGCTTGCACAAGGCAATTTCTTACCAGCCTCTGCTAAATTTAGGAAAACTGCATTAACCTGGTCCACTCACACAAACGTGCCCACAGAGCTGATCAAGACAAAGTCTAGACAACACACTCTCATTAAACATGTCCATCAGAACTTCTTTAGGCTCTAACCTCTTTCAACATCCAGGTGGGATGAGATGCAAAGATTTCATATTCGCCAGGAAGCACTTTGAAGAAAGCAAACCTGTAAAGCAAGAAAAAGGGTGATGCTGCTGAAGAGTCATTAACACCTGTTCACAGAAAAGCAATTCATATTCTTCGTGTGTTTCAGAACTTCTATAATCCCAGTCAATATGGCAGAACAGAAAGAATCTTGTGTGAACAAACAGATGAGGCATGCACACATGCATATTCCCACACTCACTTTCCTCCAGGTTGGGTAATAGTTGCTTGTAAGTTTACATCACTGCCAGCGTTTCTCAGTACAACCTGGACTCCAGCAGGACCTAATGACTGACCTTTGCTGAGAACCTGTCAAAATCAAAACAGTGCACAAGTGGATAAAAATAACTAGCAGAGGTAAATGTTTTTCTGAAGATAGAATTAGCATAAGATGGAATAAATAAACATAAAGGAATCTAACCTTTCCGTTCACAGAAAACCCTGTGAATACAAAGTTAATATCGCCTCCCTTCGTGCAAATGTCATTAATGCCATCTACATGGATGTCTACACTGGTCGGTTCTGGAGGGGAAGAACAATGAAACAGCATGGCAGTTAGTGACAAAGGAACCACAGACACTGTGCTTCAGCTTTACAAAACTCTTCCAGAAATGCACTAGCTCAAGTGCACCAGTTGTGCTCTGGAAGCCAAGTTAACCACCCACAAATTCTGATATTGAAAATCCTTCCCTGCTCATTAAAGACATTTTTATGAAAAATCCACATTATTTCTCATTAGTTCACGTGTTACTTTATCAGTGTCTGCCTTACAGCTCTATTTTTCTACTGTACAGTCAGTATATTTATTAAAACCACATAGGGCTTCTGCCTTTTACACAGCATGTGATTTTCCCTGCCAACTGCAAGCTAGCAGTAGTTGAAGTCCCACACTGCAAATACAGTGCCCTATTATAAGAAGAGATATGAACACTTACCAAAACTCCATCCCAGAGGAGGCTCAATTTTAAGAATGAAATCCCCCTAAAAATAATTTAAAAAAGCAATAACAGTCTTCACTGACCTGATTCAATTTAACTGAAGAATGAAAAAAAAAGTCAGAATCCAAGCACAATGCTGCATAGAGTAATATAAGACTCAAGAACCCCATTCTCCTCTCCTTCTAACTACTATTATGCTGTGTTCAAAAAGCAGCAGAACCTACCCAGACAGTCTGCAATGCTGAGCTTGTATCCTGACAGCTAAGAGCAAGAGTTAAGCAGCATCATGTTTATAATGCATCTACATCAAAGGCAGCTCATGCACAAGCAGTTCAGTGTTAGAAAGTGTTCAGATCTCTCTACCTGCTGCAACAGATGTGCTCTAAAACTGCCTTTAGTGTTTCCACTGGGTGGTTTTACTCATACATTCTGCCCAAACATGAGATAAAAGAATTCCAATCCTACTAAAAGTTCTGTGCTGGAAAGGCATCAATCTACACAGAGATCCTCTTTAAGTCAGCAGACACCACATGGGTTCTGAAGTTCAGCCATTCAAAGGCCCTGAGATCTAAGAATGAAACGAACGGGACAAGATGTGTCTAATGTCCTCAGATTTGAAGCTAACCAATTCTTTACCAGAGCAAAACACTCAGATCACTTGAGGGCAGCTCGTACCTAATTTGAAAGTAAATATTTTTCCAGTCTAAATAAACACCAAAATCTTGCTACACTCTAAGCTTTCGATTTCTTTATTTCAATGCTTAAGTCATATATAATATCAGCAACTAACCATTCAAATTATTTTCAATGCAATCATATAAAAACAGATATAGCAGAGATATTGTTGTTGCTACTGGCAGGTAACTGAAAAGCTTTATCCATACTCACACTGCCAGGACCTACACTTTTCTTTCAGCATTCCTACAGCTACGAGCACCGCACAGCTGAAGCTGCCTGGCTTCCTCACTGTAACACCACTGAAAAATAGAATAACTGTATTACAAACAGAAAATCAAAGGAAGGGAAGTTGGATCCAAGCGTAACAAAATTATGTGCTGATCCAAATGCTGTTCTGATGGCAGCAGCTCGTGCCTCTGCTGCAGAGAAGACACTGCAGTATTTTGGTTTCTTACCTTATCATAGAGGGGAATCATAAAATACCCATTGTTTGGCGCACAATCTGTCTGGTATTTGAGAGTACCATGCTTTGTGTACAACTTAATCTGTAGGACAAAAAAAAAAAAAAGATTTTTAAGAAACGCAACCAGAAGCAGAACCAGGAATTCTCCAAGCATTGCTTTTACACACAGCAGAGGGTGCACATCCCCCAGCGGCAACAGAGCTAACGGGGCAAAGGTTTACTGCAGGGCTGCCAGGGGAACCGTGGCACAGAGCTCAGCTCCGGGCTCGGGGGAAATCAGCGAGCGCTTAAACGAGAACCGCCCGGAGCAAGCCGGGTCCCAGCAAGCAGCAGCCGGAGCACGGGGCCCATCCTGCCGTCAGCCCGCCGGGCCGCACGGCCGCAACTCGGGAAGAAAGGGGCGGCGGGAGCTGGCGCTGCACCCGGCGCTGCAAGGGGTCCCGCGGTGCGGCGCTGCGAAGGGGCGGCGACGGCGCCCACCTCGATGAGGGAGTAGTTGATCTCCACGTCGGACTTGACGAAGCCGCCGCAGCCCACCACGATGTCCTCGGAGCCCCGCGCCAGGGCGCAGCACAGCGCGCAGCACAGCGCGGCGGCCCAGGCCCGCATGCCGCCGCCACCGACCTGACTCAGCGCCGCGCTGCCGGAAGGGCCGGGCGGGGCGCGGCGGTACCGATGCCGCCCTCTACCGGCTCGGCGGCCCCGCTGCTCGCTGACACCTCCATCCCCATCCCGCAGCCGGGCCGTGACCAGCGGCGGGCGGTTCCCATGCGGCGCCGTGGCGGTGAAGCCCGCGACTCAGAGCGCCGAGCCGGAAAATCCCGGCCGCAGCCCCTCGGGCCCGAGCCGCACCTCCGCCTCCCTCCCCCGCGGCCGGCCCCGTCCCCTTTGCCCTCCTGCAGCGCCCGGCCGGACTTTGCTCGCCCCTCGCTCCTGGCGGCGCGGGGCCGTCCGCCGTGTTCCGCTCGAGGACGCGGCTTTCCCGCCCGCGCTGAGGCACCCCGTGGCGCCGGGGCGGACGGGCACCATGGCGGCGGGCCGGCTGTGCGGCTCCTCGACCGGGCTGTGGGTGAGTGCGAGTCCCGCCGGCGGCCCGGGGCAGCGCCGGCTCGAGCTGAAGCGCGGACTCGTTTCGCTCAAAGCGACAACGGCGATCCGACTCGACCGCCCAGCCTTCTCTGCCAGAATTGCTGCCGGCCGAGCTTTCCCCACGGGCTGCTCAAGCTTTGGCATCGGACTGATCGTTCCCGGTCAGAGAAGTTGTTAAAGACAGCTGGGGAAATGCAGTTGTGATGCAGTTTATGCTCCAGGATACTTCTCCTTATCTCTATTGCACCGGGTTTCTCTACTGACCATTCCCAAGCGCTAATAGTCTTTTTGATTCCAAAATTGTTATTTCTCATTCTACATTCCACTTATATTTCCTCTTTCTCTCTCTTTCCTCCTTAGTTCTGACAGATGATTCGTTTTCTCTGGCGCTTTTCAAACCCTTTTTTCCTCTTTCCATTTCCATTCCCTGCAGAATGCTGCTGCGTTGTCTCCAGCAGCTCTCTTGCCAAATGCTCTTCACGTTTGAAACTCCACATCAAGTTTCTTTAACATCATCTCAGTTGAACTATGAGCAATTTGCATTGGCTGGTGAAATTCTGCATACATTAGCATTACTGTTTCACTTCTCTGTTGGTTCTGTGACAGGACTGGAACCAGACGTGGTTCACCAACAGCCCAAGATTTACCTGGTGCTTCGAGAACACAGTCCTTGCTTGGATCCCCTGTGCCTACCTGTGGATCTGTTTTCCTTTCTACTACTTGTACCTTCGACGCAAAAACAAAGGCTATATCAGGATGTCCTACATCTTCAAAATCAAAATGGTAAAAGTGGAGGATGGGATTTGATCCTAACACTATTGCGATTTTGATGCACAGTTTAATTTTTATAAATCATTAACTCTTTTCTGATGATCCTTCTCTGTGCTTGTATTGACATTTATTCACTCAGGTAAAAGTCACATCAGTACAAATCAAGTAAATCTTCAGGAATAACTATTGCAAGATCTTTTCCCCTGTAGCTCCATGTAGTTTCCTGCTACTTTCCATAATGCTCTGTCTCAAACCTGCTCTGTTACTTCTTCAGTCTTCTAGCCCAGCCTTCTTGGAGCAGCCAGTTCAGTATGCTGGCCCAGCATCTTTTTACTTCATTCCAATATGTTTTTGCTGTCTCTGCCCCAGGTCCTTGGATTCCTCTTGGTAATACTGTGTTTTTCTAATGTCTTCTTTGTACTGTGGGAAATAAGCCAAGGAATCCCTCGGACTCCAGCATTCTTCATCAGCCCGGCAGTGTTGGGGATCACAATGGTAATTCTTCTTTTGTCCTGTGTGTGGCCCAGCTTAGCCTTCTGGGGGCACTTCTGGTATTTCCCATGTTTTTGAGTGTCTCTGAGCACAAAGATAGCTGATGGGGAATATAACACCAGAGCTTTGCTCTTTGAGTTTCTGCTCTATGAAGCAGTAGGGGACAAGAGTTCAGGCAGCTACATTATATAGCTCTGTGAGATGCGTATACCTCACAAGAGCCAAAGCAGCAATATTTAGAAGGAGGTTTTATAACAGGACAAGATCCAGTTTCCCATAACCACTGTATGTTAGTTAGTATGGTTGGATCTTAATGAGTGAAATGGGATTTCTTTTTGACTAAATGCCTCCCCTTCAGTTACGGCACCTTCACAGCCTAGAGCCTTCCAGCCTGTTGGCCCAGTTGTGGTTTTATTACTTCTTTCAGTAGTGACATTCTGCAGCGCAAACTGCTCGTAATACATTCAGTTTTAGCCTTACAATAGTTCAGCTCTAAGTACTTTGAAATGTTTGGGCAAGAAACTGATTTTGCTTTATTGTGTCCATTAACTTGATAGTAATGTTTGGCATTTCACTACCAGCTATTTACCTGGAGGTATTTCTGCTTCCTCACAGATCCTTGCCATGTTCCTTACCCAAGCAGAAAGAATGATGGGCATCCAGTCTTCAGGCATCATGTTGATTTACTGGCTGCTCACATTCTTGTCTGCACTTGTGATGTTTAGTTCCAAAATCCAACATGGCCTGGAAAGAGTAAGTGAAATCATGTATCTTTAACTTGAAAGGGTATGAAGGCTCTGAACAATATGGTTCTTTTTGCCTCATTGATAGTGAGGAGAAGAACTGAATTCCTTTCTTAATGTCTGTGCTAAGAAAAATGATTAATGAGTCTGATCTCTACTCATGTTATCCCTTGCAATACAGAGAGAGCATGGTTTTCTGAGTGTTCATCAGATTTCACATATGAAAAAAAAAAGCAAATTAATGTAAACACCAAATGTAGCCTTATGCTTAGGCTCCAGGCCTCTTCCACAATTAACAATTCACCAATTCTTGCTCTGAAAAAAATATTCAGACTTCTACCTTGTTGGGTGTTTTTGTCTTTCTTGGTCACAAAATTAATTAGTGAGCCCTTTATGGAGCCCCATACATCCTACTTAATAAAACCTAACAGCTGTTTCATTCTGTCAGTGACTTATCCCACTATGTGAGCACAATCTATGTGAGCACAATGTCAAAGCACTTCAAGTTCTCTGAACAATTATGCAGTGTAGACGTTAAGTATGTTGTGAAGTGTCATGATAAAGCATTACTGTAAATGATAAATGAATCCATTATTCAGTAGTTACTGGTGTTCCAGTTCTAGGAATTACCTATTTCAATAGTTACACAACTGTAATTTAAATAAATGTAAGTACAAAAAATAAAACCAAGCATCAAACAAAAACTCAGCCTATGGCTTGCAGAGTGTGAAGAAGCCATCTTTCCCCATTGATTTCATTCTCAGCAGTATTCTGTTTCTTAGGGGTTCTTGGAAGACTTTTTCCACCATGTTGCCACTTACCTTTATGCTAGCCTGGTGCTTGGTGAACTTGTGTTATTCTGCTTAGTGGATCACCCTCCTTTCTTCACTAAAGCTGTCAACAGTTCTGTAAGTATAATGTAGCTTTTCATAATGCTTTGCTTCGTTGCTCAAGCAAGTTTAAACTCCTGGGGATACACAGGAACATGATTATCTGAGAGGTGCAAAATACATCATTCTGTATAAAGGCCAATGGTATTAAAAGGTAACCAGCAGAACTGGGGATAACAACTCCCATCTTTTGTGTGTTTTGAAAAACTAGTGACCTATCCACACTCTTGCTTCTTTTCATTGAAATCAGCATATAGGGCTTATTTTGCTTCTGCCTGGTCTTTAGTAAACCAGTACATTCCTCAATCTGTGGTACATGTATGGCAGAACTAAGTGCTTCAGAAAGTGAATATCGTTGGATATGAAGGATGGTATTCTGAGACATTATTTGAAGTCTAATTCTCCAAAGCCCCATAGATCCCTCACAATACATTGCCAGAGGCAAGGAGTGGGCGCTGGGTAGCCTGTTGTTTGTTTTTCTTGGAAAAGTGCAGGAGGGATATCATATGACACGTTCCCTTTTCTCCACATAAATGTCATCCATGTTTTTCTTCCCATCAGAATCAATGTCCAGAAGCCAGCAGCTCTTTTCTGTCCAAAATCACATACTGGTGGTTCTCTGGGTAAGAAAACACAGAAGAGACAAGGGTTTGCTATAACATCAGGGAAAAAAAAAAAAAAGAAAAAAACAAACCCAGCATAAGAGAGGGTGTAGATGAGAAGGAATTGAAGCATCTCTGCTCTGCTCCCAGGTTAACTTATGTAGTGAGGTTTTAAAGTCCTTCTCTGGGGACTTGAGGTATTCTCTCAAGATCTAATTGTAAAATGTAGCTTATTTTTCACAAAATAGTTTAAAACACAAATTTGTGATTCCAGATAATTCCTCACTCCTAGCTACCTGCCCAGGACCTTTTCATCTTCAAATAGACATCAGCAGTCTCAAGAGATTGCTGTACACCAGCCATAGCCCTGCCTGCCAGACCTTCTTGTAACAAATGCTGGGCAGAGAGAAAATACTGAAAGATGATTTTGCCTCAGCCTTCTGCTTAGCAGTCAGAAGTAAAATGATTACATACCTTGGACCTTATGTCAGCAATGGTAATGCCTCCTCTGTTTCACTTAGCCACAGATTAAGTTAAAATGAATTTTGTCCCCCTCTGCCCGAGACCCAGCTGTCACTATCAACTAAACTTAGAATTAGGGCTTACTTGCAAATAATAATTATACTGACAGAAGATAGCATAGGGGTTTGAAGCAAAACAGCTGTTCCTAAATATTCATATGTATTCAGGGAAAGGATATTCCTAAGTAGTACTTACAGAATTCACTGTGTAGCACTGAATTAAGGCCCATCTGTTTTGAAAATATTACATGCGCAACAAATACTTCTGTGCTTACTTATTGGCTGTCTGTGTTTGCCAGGCTTGTCTGGAAAGGCTGTCGGCAGTCTTTGGGGGTGGATGACCTGTGGTCAGTGAGGAAAGAGGACTCCTCTGAAGAAACTGTTGCCTGGGCTGAGAGGGAGTGGAAGAAGTATAACAACAGAACGAAGCAGTGAGTACTTAATCTAGAGTGTGTCATGGATGCAGCTGGCAGTTTCTCTCTCCTTTAGATGCTACAAACAAATATGCCTGCAGGGACTGGTATGCCATCTCTGAACAGACTTGAAGCTCCTCCATTCCCCACAGAGGGACAGACATCAAAATCATAGCATCGTTTTAGTTGAAAGGGACCTTTAAAGGTCATTTATTCCAATTCCCCTGGAACAAAATGGGACATCTCCAGTTAGATCAGGTTGCACAGAGCCCAGTCCAGCCTGAACTTGAACATCTCCAGATACGAAACATTCACCACGGTATCCAGACAGCTTCAGTACATATTCAGGCTCTCAGTGTGAGCTTTGCTGGTGCTTCCAACACAGATGGAAGCATCCTGTCCATCTAGACAAAGGAAGATTTGAAAGATTCAATCCTACTGAATTATCTGGCTATTAAACAAGAAGAAAAATATAGTTACTCAGATTTTATGTTGACTGTCTGTTAGCAAAATGTGGGAGTCTCCTCTGTTCAGTGGGTAAACAGTGAGAGTATTTTTGTGCAACACCTAAGTGATGAAATATGCTGAACAACAACTCTTAATTCCTAGAAGCTTGGTTCTGATGAGAGGGATCATTTTTTGACCTGCATTTATACTGGACAGGGCACAAGATCCAGCCTGAGCTATTTCATGATTTTTTGAAAACACAAGATGCAATTTTTTCAGTTACAGTTAGCTTTTCCACTGTTTCTTTCTTTAGAAAAATGGAGTCTGCTACTTTTAAAAAGAGTCAGAATGAAACTGACATTGGAGAAGCTGAAGAGACAGAGGTTCTGCTGCAGTCAGAGCACAGTCAGAGTGGGCCATTGCTGCAAGCATTTTGGAGCATGTTTGGAATCTATTTCCTGCTCAGCACCCTCTGCTTAGTTATATGTGATGTCTTCTTGTTCTCCATTCCAAAGATACTGAGGTATGTGCCTATTTGGAATTTATTTCCCAAAGAAACACCACATGTATCATAAGACTGCTGCATGCATGAGCTCACCCAGAGAAATATATGTCAGCACTCACAGAAGTAGATAAACAGACTTTTAGCTTCTGCAATCTCCGATTGCTGTTGAAAGGAGCAGGATTACCATTCATTCTAAGCCCACAGTCACCTCTGTCACTTTCTACAGCTGTGTACGTTTCTTTACCGCTATGTGGAAAGGACCAGTTGCCCTAAGCTTTGTGGCAACTTTGCAAGAACCAGAGTAAGCATTCTTTGGTGGTTCTGTGTACTGCATGCATTGCACAGGCTGTCAGCAATTTGCAGTAGACTCCTGGCTCTATGTTCCTTTACTAATCATAAAGCATACAGCTGAGCATCCTGCACATCTTCAGTAGCATCTTTTGTTAGTGGATCTTACACTTTGTGTATTATGTTGGTACAACACAAACCTGCACTGCAATTTGTTTTCAAAGGCAAAAACACTTCTCAGTCATTAGAAGCAGCTGTGGAAATGTGGAAATCAGTGACTTCCTCAGATTCTCACTTCTTATTTGCATATTTCTGACAAATTCACAGAATTCAGGTGCCATCTTTCACATTAAAAATCACATCTCAGAAGATGCTGAGATAGATCAGAGATTACTTCAAAGCCAAGAGTGTCAAATGTCAAAAACGAGATGCTGCAGACACAGGAAACCTAGCAGTTTTCCCATCTCTTCTACTATTTTACTGACAAAGGTCAGCTAGAGAATACAGAAAAATCGCTGGAATTTCATTTCCGACACTGCATCAGTTCTACACAGATTAACCAATATTGTGCTCCTGTCTTGCAGCCTTTTCCTTGAGTTCATTGAAGATCAAGAGGCCCCTAGCTGGCATGGTTATTTCTATGCCTTCATTCTGGTTCTTTTAGCTTGCCTCCAGACTCTATTTGAACAACGATATATGTACATGTGTCTCGTTCTGGGTCTGAGATTGAAAACTGCAGTAACAGGGCTTGTATACAGGAAGGTGAGTCTGTGAGCTTCCTTTTCAACTTCATTTTTTTTCTAGCCTAACATTAGTTATTGTGACGTTGTTACATTGTTCTCAACAATATGAGGGAATATGCTATTAGAGATCTACTTCTAGCTTGTAATTCTGTGCTATATTCATCTCTGAATAATGTGTGAGGTACTTTACTGTTTGTCTTTCAGATCTTACCTCTGAAGAGAAAGACAAGAAAAGGAAAGATAGTTGGGAAAGGGAGTAAATTTTTCATTCTCAAGTGAAGTCACATATTTCAGGCGTCAGCACATTTTCACTACCTACGATTTGATCTTTTTTTTTTTTCTCCATAAGGAAAAGAAAGTTCTTGATTTTTGGATCAAAGCTGTTGTGTTGATTTATACTTCCTTCTCTACTCTGTTTAGATCCTAATCATGTCAAATGCATCAAGGAAAGCAGTAACAGTAGGTGAAATTGTTAATCTGGTATCCGTTGATGTCCAAAAGCTAATGGATCTCGTTATCTATTTTAATGGAACCTGGCTTGCTCCTATTCGGATTATCATCTGCTTTGTCTTCTTGTGGCAGGTAAAATATGATGACAGTACATAGCAATCAATTTCCATTCTGGGTATCAAAGGAAAAAGGACTTTTCAAAATTCATCTTAGAGTTTTGCTGGTCTGAACAACCTGAAATTGCCATGGTTTTTTTAGCTGTGTAGCATGGAAAATTCACTTCTATTGTCAGAAGTTATTTTTATTAGTATAGAGTCTTTTCCTGATCCTTGACTATCTTCTTACCTGTATATTCAGTATTCAGTCTCTTTTAGGGAAAAAAGTGTGATTATAATTGTTCTGAGCTGACTGATAAACTTCTACCTGCAATTTTCCTTTGCCTGCTCTCGTTCCAGTCAAAATGTAGTGGCCTACTGCAGGCTCTAGGTCCAGTCGCAGCCCTTCTGCACAGTAACAGAACGTAAAGAAAAATGGTTGTAGTAACAACTTGATTTGCTTCATCCTGAAGGTTTGTTACCATAAGATCAGCAAAAGAAACAGAAGCAAAGTTATATGATATTCAAAAGGAGTATTGGATATACTGAATTGCATAGATATCAAGGAGTTCTGCAAGGAGAGTGCAAAACCCAAATGAGAATCAACGATGCTAATCTGAAAGATCCCTTTTTCCCCTAATGCAATGTATGGCATTTTCTCAGTAGAATAAGGTTGTATTTCTTTGCCTGTTCTTGACAGCATGCAAAGTGGAAGTATGAGCACAGCAGAGACAATTTCTAAGAGCTTTCCAGAGGCCTTTGAGACCTTCCTCCACTAGGCAGGATGGACTAGTGCCAGGTGCCTGCGGTGTGCCATGACCCTGGAAAGTAAATTGGTAGCTGTGGTATGAACAGTTTAAAGTCCATCAGCCCTTTCTATTGCTGTTGCCAAGCTGAATGTACTCGCGTGTACTGAGTTACATGAGAGTTTTCAGTGGCAACTTGCAGATTGCTTTAAGTTTTTCTAACTTTTAAAGATTAACACTTTGTTTGCTAGTTTATAAACCATTTGTGTAAGGAATACATTTGTCTGCTTGTATATCAGCACTCACATTTCTAGCAAATGCTGTTTGCAGAGATGTGACTAAACCACAAGAAACAAACTCCCTGTTTTGGTGTGGAAGTTCAGAACTCAAGAGCTCTCCAAGAGTATGTGGCACTGTACTTGATGGCTGCCATTTCATCTCACTAATTGATGTAAATTCAGGCAAACTTGGTTATTTATGTTGCAAGAATAGCTTGTTTTCTAAAGTCTGTTTTTGTTTGGTGTCACTTCCATATGCCAGCCACAAGATGTCCTCCTTGATAAATCCAAGAGCAGGTGGGAAGCAAATGACTTGAACCACCAAGCCTGCTTCTGGATCTCTCTCAGCACTAATCTAGTTCCTAAAAGGAAAGCAAATAAATTCAGCAGAGTACGATGACAGGAGTTACCCTGCTTGGAGAATGAGCAACCCACAGTGTTTACACAGCTCAACTCCCAAGAAAGGCAAAGGCTGGACTAGAGAAAAACCTTAGACTTCAGGGATGCTAATCATAGGTTTCAAAGAAGGAATGTGAGCAAGAGGGAGCAGAAGACTGTCATGTATAGTAAAACCAAAAGTTCCTCCACTTTCCTTCTTTCTCCTGGCAGCTCCTTGGGCCATCAGCCTTGGCTTCAGTTGCTGTATTCCTTTTTCTTTTGCCTCTGAATTTTATGATCACCAAGAAGAGGAGTCATTTCCAGGTACATTTTGCTTCATAAAAATGAAGTTTTTTACTAACATGAATTATGCTAGGATAAGTTAAAGGCTGCCATGCTCTCCTGGGGAAGGATTACATGTAACCCAACACTACAGAAAAAAAAATTGAAGGCTGATGGTTATAATAGGCAAGTTGCTAAGTTCTGTATTGGTGTGTATCACTATCATTTGGCTTTAAGTGATGGGTTAATATATATTATTCACGATGACTACGACTCTCTGAACCTAGGAGAATTCAAAGCCTACAAAGTTACTTGAGGTTTACAGTAAGCTCATCTGCCTTCTTTTACTTTGTGTTTGCTGAACTTTTCTGGTTTTGTATTTATTGCCAGTAAAAACAACGCTCTAAAAAAGAAAAGCAAAATGTCCCCAATCTCAAAGATTTACAAGCAAAGAGCATACACAGCTGAACTGCAGGGAAATTTATTCAGAGCTCATAGGCAGGATTAAAGTGGTTTTTCAGAATAATTGCTCAGTTATATATTCAACCTATTAAATGACAAACTCAAACATTTATTACAGGAGGCCCAGATGAAGCATAAAGACAAGAGGGCCAAACTTACCAATGCCATTCTTAGTGACATTAAAGTAATCAAGCTCTATGGTTGGGAAAAAACCTTCATGGAAAAAGTGCATGCTATCCGGGAGCAAGAACTTCAGGCTCTAAAAAGATCTCAGATTCTCTTTTCAGCATCTCTAGCTTCTTTCCATTCATCAACTTTCCTGGTGAGTGGTTCATCCTCCTACACAAAACATGCACTGTTACTTCCACTTCTCTTCGTGGTACTGTCTGGACAGATTCTTCCTGTTGGACAGCTAAAGATAGTATCTGTGTGGAGCAGCTGGTGGTCTCACAGGAGGAGCTGAGCCCCAGTGAATCAGCCACACATACTTTTACTGTCCTAACAGTTCTGTTAACACTTTACCTTGTCTCATGATGTGCTCCAAGCAGATGAAGTCTGCTTTGTAAAAACCACCAGGAGACCTCCAGCTACACAGAGTTCAGAACACAGCCAGTAACAGCACAAGCCACTTTTGCTGTACTGTTGCAGGTCAGCCATATATGCTTTTAATGGAAGATGGCCACATTTTCATCTTACTGCAATTGCAGCACCAAACCTTCCTTAAAGCAGACCAAACATCAAATGATCAGACTTGGTTTATCACCAACATGCAAGACCACACCTGTGATATTTGCAGAACAGCAGTGTAATGTATGTGAATGATAACCTAGATTTAACCAAGTGAATTCCAGAGTATTTAGAAAGGGATCTGCCAACTATGAATCATTCTCTTTTCCTTGTCTGAAGCAAATGGTTTGGTTTTGCTTTGCTCTCTTCCAGATTGCATTTGTCATGTTTGCTGTCTATACCCTGGTGGATAACACACACGTCCTGGATGCTCAGAAGGCCTTTGTATCTTTAACACTGATCAACATTCTCAACACCGCGCACTCATTCCTGCCATTCTCCATAAATGCTGCTGTCCAGGTTAATTGCAGGCTATGTTTCTTTTTCTTTGGCCACGATTGTTTTTTTACGTATCACCATTAAAAGGTAAAGATGGGAATGTCTTAATGGCTTTGAGACTCAGGTCAGCTATTTAATTGCTATTTTGAAACAGTGAAGTGCAAGGACTTGCAGCTAGAAGTATTTTTTAAGTACTGTTTTTCAGGAAGACTCCATATGACAAAATATTCCCCAGGAGTAGTTCTTAAATCTTTCAGGGCCTTATAAGCATCATGTTGTGCAAGGCAGGATTCTAATGTTTTTTCCATTGGGCAATATCTGTGCTTCACTGCCCCTGGAAGCATTGTTAGTCTTACATCACAAGCAGCAGTAGACATGAGATGGGCTTCTAGTTCTGCTATTAATCACAAGAGACCAGAGCAGTGGGGCAAAAATCTCCATGGCAGACCAGGGAAACCTTGCTAGGCCAAGCCAGAGATAAAAGCAAGTCATTTTTCAGTGAGAATTGGGAAATTGCTCTTCTCTTTTGCACCACAAGAAGGCTGTTATGAGTCTTCATACTCAGGAGCAATTGCTAAAAAAACTGCAAGATGAATTTGGAGGAAAAAGCACCAATATTCAAAGATGTGAACAAAAGCAAAAAAACACATGAAAGAACAACCCTTTTTGATGAGCTAAATGAAAGTAAAGGCAATTAACTTAGGGAAGAGTTGCATTTGTCCACCTATGCCTACAGCATCTGCAGCGCAGCACCCAGTCAACAGTCTTCAGTGGGTTTTCAGTTTAAGTCTTTTAGTTGTAGTTCCCTTTCTATTCTAAATCTTAGTGTGTGTGTGCTTCTTCATTTCAGGCCAAAATTTCTTTAAAACGCTTAGCAGCTTTTCTGAATCTGGAAGAACTGAATCCTGAAAGCTCAAACAGAAACACTTCTGACTGTGGTGAGCTTTTGTGTTAGTATTGTTGTCTTACAAGAGGAATAGTTCATTGTTCAGCTTCTAATATGATGTCTGCCATAGTCGAGAGAGAAAATTATTTGCCCCTCACCATCATTTTGTTTCTGAGGCCTAGTAATTTCTAACAATGAAATTTAGTCTGGTAATCAGCCCCTTCTTTTGATACTTAAGGTTGATTTTATGTAAGTACATAGTAAAACATAAGGATGTTTTCTGTAGTTACTTTTGAATTTACAAATATTGTATTTCTCCTCCTATTTTAGTACAGGCAAGTATCATTGTAAGAAATGGAACTTTCTGCTGGAGCAAAGACACTTCTCCCTGTCTTAGAAGGTACAGTCTTAAGCTTAGTCTGCTCAGTTCCGTAGCTCAGAGTGGGAGCTGAAAGAATGTTCAGAGCCCAGAGTGAAAGTAGTGTAGAATACGTAGAGGTTCTGCTTCATATTTCACATTGAATCCCAACAATTAAGTTAGATAAAATGGATTCTTTCTTCTATTCCTGTTCTAATAGGAGTACAGAAACGGGAAGGTTTCGGTATCTAGATATTGCCTCAATACATAGAGACTGTACTTACCCAATTATTCATTGAAATGTGGAATTAGATTAAGTAAAAGAAGTGGAATTGGTGCTTATTTCAAAAGGTGCTGCAGTTTTAGAGAAGAAATACTATCCAGTACTTTGGGCTAGTCTGTATGCAGAGTGAGATTCTGTGTCTTCAATCTTGGTTTGAAATCTAAACGCAGATATGGACAGAGACTTTCTGGCTGAACATGCCTCTGAAGGGATGAATCCTGTGCTACTGAAAAATGTTAGCATAACTCAAAGAGTAACCTTGTGAAATTATATGAAATTAGAAGCATGCATTTTTTTACTGTTGCACCACAACAGCAATAATTTTGCTCGTTTTCTTTTAGAAAGTGAATTTAAAAGGTGTTCAGAGTGATTGGGGGGGGGGGGGTCTCTTCTCTCTATAGGATAGATCTTACTGTACCACAAGGCTCCTTGCTTGCTGTAGTTGGCCAAGTGGGTGCTGGAAAGTCCTCCTTGCTGTCAGCGTTACTTGGTGACCTGGAAAAGATGGATGGCTGTGTGACTATGAAGGTAAATTTTTCCTTGAGCATTTGCTTTTAATTAGGCTATATTCAAGAACAGTGAGGCATAAACTAAGGCATCACATACGTGATGAAAACTCACTGCTGAATGTTAACAAAGGCTATAGCATAGCAGCCTACATTTAATCACTGAGGAGCGCTTAAGACCCCTCTAATGAGCCTGACTCTTAGGACTAGCAACAGGACTTTGGAGATCCAGTTCCATTTCCCACGCTGACAGTGAGCTCTAGTGGCACTGTGGTTAGTCATGTCACTTACACTTGTTTCTTCCTCTGTAACAGAGCAGGGTGAGGACCCCTTTATTTTGCAAAGCACTCTGAGGCCTCTCAATAGTGATGGTCATTGCGTATTTCCATAAAGCTAACTGGGAAGTTGTTTCTTCAAAGACAGATTCACACAGTGCCAAGTTGTACTTACAAAAAAGAGATTGATAACATTCTATTTCTGTTTTTGTAGGGCACAGCAGCTTATGTCCCCCAGCAAGCTTGGATACAGAATGTTTCAGTGGAAGATAATATTCTCTTTGGGAAGGAGATGGATGAAACGTGGTTTAACAAAGTGGTTGATGCTTGTGCACTGCAACCTGATTTGGAGAGCTTCCCTGCAGGGCAGAAGAGTGAAATAGGCGAGAAGGTACTGGGCCAGTTGTATGGAAAAGTTACTAAAACATGAGTAAATTCAACTTTGGATGTCCTGCTTAAACACTAATGAAGGAATTAAATTTGCAAGGGCAAGTACTCAGGAATTTCTGAAAAGTTGGGCTATAATTTAAAGGGGTCTCAAGCCCACCTCTTAATAGTTAACTAGAGATATGAGAGATGCATCAGACGTAGTAAACAAATCCAGGTCATTTATGGGTCCTCTTTTGCAGGAGAGTGGAGTTTCTCAAGAGAAGACGCCCCTGCTTCAGCATCTCAGGAGCCCAATTTGGTGGGAGGGAGGAAGAGGAAAGAAAGAGACCATCATTTAATAATAAGCAACTCATAAAACCTCATAAAGGAGTCACGAGTAGACAATTATGCCAAAGCACACTAATAAACAGTATCAATGCATTTTTACAGGGAATAAATATATCTGGAGGACAGAAACAAAGAATAAGCCTCGCTCGTGCTGTGTACCAAAGGTCTTCCATTTACCTACTAGATGACCCCCTCTCTGCCGTTGATGCCCACGTTGGACAGCACATTTTTGAACATGTTCTTGGACCCAATGGTTTACTGAAGGACAAGGTTTGTTATAAATCCTGAACAGTAAAGACATCACAATGTTTCCAGTCATAAAGACCTCACAAACGTTTCCAGTCATGTGAGTTACTTTATCAAAGGTTCCCTTTTATTTATTTATTTATGTTAGTAGCAAAACTAGTTAGTGGTATGGGTAACCAATATGCTGCATAGATTGCAGAGAAGTCTTGCAGTGAATTTTAGCTAGGAGGAGGAAGACTGAAAGGTTAGGTTCTTCAGAAAGGCTGCCTTTATCTTTACTCAAACCACATGCCTAGTTCCAGCCTTACTTCCACAGCAAAGCTGTTGTTCTAAGGTCTTCTGTCAGTATTAGATTTTTCCTGCTCTGGGATTTATTTCTAGTACAGTTTGGAAAAAGTGTCTATTCTATTCACTTTATCATAATCCCTCATCCAATCATTTGTGATGGCAGCACCTTTCTAGTTCTCATCACCCAACTGTTCATTACTTAAATTCCAGTCTTAAGATCCATCTTAAACCTCCTCTCTTCTTTGCATTTGGTTGCATTGGTATACCTTAGTATTTCTCTGCTGTCAGACAATACAGATGATAAATGTGGATACATAAGAAGGGATGACAGGGCATCTCTGTTTTTTTTTTCTCCATCTTATAATTTGACACTGTAGTTTTGTTCAGTCTGAAAAAGTTTTCAGACAAATCCTTTTCTGGCATACTGGCATCAATGACAGTGAACGTGACAGACTCTCCTGTTACCATCATACTCCTTAGGAGCTTCAGCCTGAGTAGAATCAACAACACTGGACTGGTCAGTGAACCCTTCAGAGGGTCCTCCTACACGGTGCTGATCTGAAAAGTTAGGCATCAGTTCCGATCTTTGCTTTTTTATGCCATGCATGACACAGAGCAAGCTGGTTCACCTCTCCACTCGTGATTTTCCGCTTAGTTGTTTGTTTTTTTTTTTCCCCATGATTTTCTCCTTAGTTTTCCACTTACAAAGCCATGCTGCAAAGGTAAACTTTGACAAAGAGACACTCAGAAGTGACAGGAACAAAAAGCAAAAATATTCTCACATAAGTGAAAGTTACAGCTCTGAGGATGTCTTCTTAGAAGACAGTTAATTGCAACAACTCACGTAAACAGGGGAACACCAGAACAATTGTAACTGTTCCCTCTTTATTCAGACTCGTGTTCTTGTGACTCACATGATCAGCATTTTGCACCAAGTGGACAACATTGTTGTGTTGGTGGATGGAATGATCGCAGAAATTGGTTCCTACCAAGAACTTTCACAGAGAAATGGGGCTTTTGCAGAGTTTCTTCAGTCACACAATACTGCAGAAGAGAAGGCATGCTCTGGTTTTCCAGGTAATGCAAGTTAATTGGAATTGTTTTTCCCAGACATACCATTCTTGTTTCCTTAATGTTATACTTAATGAACTGGGAGTCTTGCTGCTAGGAAGATGGAAAAGAGAACAGAACTGGAAAAGCCAGTCTTAAGTTTTGTTCTGTGAAGGACATTCTGAGCAGGAATTCCATCACAGTAAGCTGTCGCTTTTAGTGGGAAAAATGCCAGTCAAATGAGCTGAGTCATCACCTCAAAACTGGTTTTTGAATTTCTTTCTTAGCAAAGAACAATCACGCACTTAACATAATTACCCACTTTACACGCAATTCTTCAAGCCTCACTTTGATATTTCTATCCTTATGAACAATTCTCTGTAATCTTTTCTTTTACCAGTTTCTCAAAGACTGTAACAGGATAAAGTAGTATTAAAAAGCACTTAAATAGTGCGTTTATTTTATAGCTACAGGGGACATGGGAGATACCATCACCTCTAGAAACAATCTGTCAGAGGACAAGCTCTTTAGGTAAGCTTAAAGCTGTCTCAAATACCAAAGAACTTGCTCTGGAAGTCCACACAAACATACAAGAGTTTCTTAACGAGTATGAAAATGGTTTGGGATTGGTCTTCACTAATAACAGCAAACTGGCAAAACTAAAGAACAAATAAGGAACAACTTCTGAATATGGCTGTTTACAAACATTTTTTCCATATTTCACTTGAAGCTAGAATCTGTCCTGGAGCTCACACTAGGCATGGAGATCCTCTGCGCTCTCTTCCCAGTAGGGCTGTAAGGTCTGGCTTGTTTCACACCAGCTACAGCCAGTGAACACTCAAGCTTCTGCCTGTTAATAGCTACATTTAACAGAGCTCAGTGCTTGTGATACATATGGACAATTTCTGAGGTCACTCTGGAGGACCCCAAAAACAACAGCCTTTGAAAAAAGAATGACTACAAAGGAGATGAATAAGGATGAGTAAACTTCTCCAGCTTTCACATCCCATTTGACTCTGGGAAAAGTGCACTGCCACTGTAAGAAATATTAAAAATGCACTCTAGGGAGGAAGAGCAGTTCAACTTTATTCTCTACAAATAAACACATATGGTAGTAAAATTTCCTGGATATAAATGCCTTCCAAAAGGCTCACTGCCTTAGCAAAAAATTGAAAGGATTTTTGTTTTCTTTATAAAGTGACAATTCAGTCAAATCTCCTGCTATGGGAAGGAAGACCATTCCTGTAAGTCAAGACTGTACTACTGCTGAAGTCACTGAAGGAAGATTAACCAGGGGAGAGAAAACTCAGCAAGGCAGGGTAAGCACAGCACTTTTCCTCTATGGGTGAAGGGAAGTATTGCAGCTTTGTCACTGACCCACTCATGGCAGGTGGGCCAGTTCTCTTCCAAAGTTCAGATCCAGGAATGTCATCTGAGCTGTATAAATCTGCCCTATAATTGAGACAAAGTCATTTCAGCATTATTTTATATAACACCTTCTGTGCAAACTGTATCTCCCCACTTACCCCAATCTAAGTACCTTTTTAAAAATAAAAGTAGTAACACGTACATTGCAGAAAACACATGGGAACGAGAGAAGAAAAAGTAATTTATGATCCCTGAGGATCCTGACGATGATCCTGATTTGAAAATTGACCTGAAGGGAGGATATAACAGACGCAGTCAGGGTGAATTGGTGTAAAGGATAGATTACAAGGGACTTCTGAGCTTGTGTCTGCCTGCAGACTCTTGAGGCTGGTGAGAAGGGGTGTTCTCATCTTGCCTGTGAGGGACGTTTCAAAATGCCAAGGCAAAGAGGGTACTGTATAAGAAAAGCAGCAGATGTGGGACTCCAGCTAGGAGGACTCAGTCACGGATAGGATGTGTACTCAGGACAGACTGTAGTTGTAAAATGTGAGAAAAAGAATAACTGAAACCACACACTGCTACTGTTAGAGATGAGGAAGATGTCAGACATCTGAAAAAGGAGCTGCACTGAGCACAGTGTTAAGCAGATTGGGATCTCCTCACCTCTGCCACTCAGCAGTTAGTCCTGTGGGCAGTCAGTAGGGTACATACCAGCTCTCACTGAAACCTACAACAAACATAAATCTCTGCCCAGCATAAGGAAAGTCTCATCTTCATTCCAGCAGTAACACCAGCATAACACAATTCATCAGTTGCCTACAATTACTGGTTAACACCACAGATTTAAGTATGACTTCATTATTCATCCTCCTGGAAAATAAAATAATTTTTTGCTATGGTTCAAAACATATAATTGAGTAGATATGCCCTAATAATTATTCCTTGCCTCAGAGCTGTTTTTCCTCTTTAACAAGCTTAAGCCTTCCAACTTTTTCTTTTTTTTTTTTTTTTCCCCTCCTTATTGGTTCACTCTAGGTTAAAGCTTCAGTTTATGCAGCCTACCTGAGGGCTGTAGGCTCACCACTGTGTGCCTCCATCATTTTGTTGTTCACATGTCAGCAAGGTCTATCATTTTTTCGTGGTTATTGGCTCAGCATGTGGACAGAAGACCCTGTACACAATGGTACACAGCAGTACACAGAGCTAAGAGTTGGAGTCTTTGGTGCACTAGGAGTCATTCAAGGTTCGTTTAACTTCTTACCCAGTTGTTTCCATCTCCATTTCCCATATTCAAGATGTTTTTCTCACAATACAAACAAGTGCATACCCACAAGCTTTTCATCTCCTGGGTTCTTGGCACCAGCCCAAAAAGTTTGGCATGGGACCTACAACTATGATACACAAAGAGGACTTTTAAGGGATCTAAACAATATTTCCAGTGTTACTACTGAAAATCCCACCTCGTAGTATGCTAAATGTGTTCTGTGTCTTTTAGCAGACCACGATAAAGTGTCTTCACCTCCTAATGGAAATGTACGACCTGGACCCTAAGCAAAAAAAAAAAAAAAAAAGACAAAAATCAGCTACATTTTTCAATCAAATACCCTTGTATCTAACATCAGATCCTGAGGTTTGGCTTAATTATTACCAGATAGCCAGTTCCTTTCACTAATATAGCATTCACACTAAATGAAAGTCATGATGTCACAAAAGGGATCTCAAAGGTAACTTTGTTCAGATCCAGTAATAATAATTATTTTTTAAATTACAGCTGTTGTCAGATTTGTGTCCACAGCAGCAATCTTTCTAGGCGGCGTGTTAGCTTCACACAAGCTGTTTGTGCAGTTGCTGAGGAATGTTGCTAGATCCCCAGCAGTCTTCTTTGAAGAGACACCCATTGGAAACTTGCTGAACCGCTTCTCCAAAGAGATGGATGCCATTGATTCTATCATCCCTGACAAGCTGAAGTCCTTTCTGGGATTCTTGTTCAACTTGCTTGAGATCTACCTTGTGATTATAGTGGCTACACCAAAGGCAGCTATGGCCATAGTGCCCTTGACTGCTTTTTACGCTGTATTCCAGGTAGGAGCTCATAGTATACATAAAGAAGAAAATAGCATAGCCACATCTCTGTGGAGAGCCTGCTCCCACTTCTTAGGGGCAGAGACATGCAGAAACTAGTTTCATAATCTCCAATTGCATCTGAACAAGAATAACACCAGCTCTTCCCACATCACCTCAACTTTCCAAAGCACGAGATCTCTGGAATGAAGACTTCTAAGTTTCTGTTGTCCAAATCAAATCTGCCCTGGGGCTACATTCCTCATCTCCATTAGTGTACATGAAATGATATTAAGACCAAAGGCATTTTTCCTTTCCTTCAGCATTCCTGTGCGGCTTTTAATTCAGCCATGTACACCAAGCAGTTCCCGTATCGAGCTCAATGCTCTGCCAGGTAAGACTAAATAGAAGGAAGGGATGTAAAAGTGCAAGTATGCCTCCATTCTCAGTCAGGCAAAGGGCTGGTCTACAGTAGAAAGCAAGAATAAGTTTAGAGGCTCTGTGAGTTACAGCGCCTTTGCCTTCCTGCATTACCCAACTGTGGGGTTATTCTTAATGACAACAGGACATAACACAGGCAGAAACACCACCTCACCTTTTAAGGGCATCTCCTGCCTGCCCATTAGGTTTTATAACAGTAGGATAGTATGTACTCTTGCACTTGCTGAGTCCTTTCCAAATTTTCTATAGATCATCTCAACAGAGATGTTAACCATCTAGTCACTTCTCTTTCCATTTCCCTTTGTACCAGCATTTCTATGTCATCACCTCCTGCCAGCTGAGACGCATGGAGGCTGCCAGCAGATCACCAATCTACTCCCATATTTCAGAAACCTTCCAGGGGAGCAGCGTGATCCGTGCTTACAAGGACCAGGAGAGGTTTATTTTGAAAAGCAACTGCCTAGTGGATGAGAATCTGAGAATATGCTTCCCTGGAGCTGTTGCTGACAGGTACAAATCTTCAGAGTAGAAGCAATTACAGTTTACTGCCACGGCCCTTGTGAGTGGAGAGGGCTGCTCTTGGGGCAGGGGTGGAGGCACACAGAAGATGAGACATTGATGCAGTGATCTGAGGGTAAGACAGTCTCTTATATTTATCACTCATAATGCACCCCTCTCTGGCGATGTATTCCTCATACAACCAGCGTGCTCCCTCTGTTGTATGACTGGGGACACGTGCTCACACGTGGCTGGAGGTACCATTCAACGTCCTAAACGCAAGAAGCTAAAGTAATTACTGGCCTATCTAGGTACATACATGACAGTGCATAGGACATGTAGTATATGCAGAATCCATCAATCACCTGTCATGAGCAGGTGAGAAGTAGCAGAGTAAGAAAGGTTAGATCAATTAATAGAATAAATTGTGCTAGCTGTTCATCCAGCTGCCCTTGGATAAAATCCTAACAGAGACCACAGGCCAACCATTTTGGAGAGATTGGAGTCACTCATGAGCTACAGGGCAGATGATAACAGCAACCACAGCATGGTAAGGTCTTTGTTGTACACTGCGAAATAATTGTGGAGCTGCTGGGGATACAAACAAGATACTGTGGGGTAAAAAGTAGCAGGGCACCCAACAACAGCTCTGTAATCTTCTCTTGCAGGTGGCTTGCAACAAACCTAGAGTTCCTAGGCAATGGCATTGTATTGTTTGCAGCACTATTTGCAGCAACTGGCAGAACACATCTTAGTCCAGGAACTGCAGGCTTCTCCATTTCATATGCTCTTCAGGTGATAGTAATACCATGCTTACGTGGCACCAAAAATCAAATTTTAATTTCTGCCATTTCTCTCTCTAAAAAGTCTTTCTGTAATTTTCTAAATGCCTTCTCAAACCTTGCTGTCATTGCTGACCCAGACCAACCGGAGCACACAGCCCTTGTGATACAAGGGACCATAAAACATATGCAGCAGCTGTCTTTTTCCCCCTGCATCTGACCTCACACTTAAGGCACAGTATGCTCCAAGCACCTGAAGCATGTTCTTATTTGCTTGTAGACTAACTACAGAACAACCTATGGAATCACACATACCTTTAAAAGGTAGTGTAGTCACACTACCTTTTAAATAGCCAAACAGTAGCATTTCAGAAGGAGCTGGTGAAGCTCTTTAACAAAGCCTTCTACCCACAGAGACTTGTCAAAGTTTATTTTTTAGCCTCTGAAGGGATAATTTCTCACATAATTAGCTGATGAGGATGTCTTTGTACCTACTAAACAACATAACGGGTACCTGTGAGCACACATCAAAGTTCTTTCATCTGCCTTAGTGTTTCTGCTCCTTTCTGCTAGATAACTGGTGTTCTGAACTGGATGGTGCGCTCTTGGACAGAAATTGAAAACAACATTGTTTCTGTGGAGAGAGTGAGCGAATACTCCAGGACTCCTAAGGAGGTAGCCAGCCAGTTGTTATCTTATGCTAGCCAGGTCAACATCACTGCCAATCAAATTAGCAATTGTACTGTTCCCCATTTTTGCTCTTCTGAAAGATGCTGTATTCCCTTTAAGACACTGCAGCCTTTTTAATCCAACTGACGTGGTCGTTTTATAACCTCAGATCATTGTATTTCCTTACAACACTTAAGCATTAGATTTGTCATTAAAATAGCTTCAGCTGTTAACAGTCCTGGAATGAATGAGCCATGTTTTCTGCCCATATCTGGAGTATGTATTTACTGTGCAAGTTCAGATGCAATTCTGATAACTGATGGCTACTAGATAGCCTTTTAGTCACTAAGAATCTCCAGTGCAATTGTTTTTGCTCTATAATCATTATTTCTCCATATGCTGACCTGATATCAGACAAAATGAGACTTCTTTCATAGCCTTGTATAGAGACACAAACCTTCTCATTGAAACACTTAAATATCAGAATTCTGATATGCAAATGTTTATCCCCATTTTCAGTTGAGGTGACTGGGATCTCTGCACGAAGTAAAAGGCCACATTTGCAATATGAAAGTTAAAGACCTTTTTCTCTTCTGGAAACAGTAAATTGATCAGGAAGAATACAGCATACACATCTTCATAAGATTCCTATTTCAGTAAGGCTAATTCACTTTGTTATTTGAATCAGCTTTATACACTGCTCATGTTTTTCATCTGTCTAGGCACCCTGGACTCTAAATGACAAACTTCAAGGTCAAGTTTGGCTTACTGAAGGAAGAATTGAATTTAGAAACTATAGTTTTCGATACAGGCCAAATTTGGAGTTAGCTCTGAAGCACATCAACCTAACTATCAATGGAAAAGAGAAGGTAAGTAAGAGCTTCCAGAAGAGCTGAAGTGTGAACAGTGCTTTGCAGTGATTAGATCTGGACAGATGCAGCCCCTGCTCTGCATCAGTAACTTGTAAGCATGAGAACTGGCGAGGTATGAGCCTTTCCTGTCAATCACACTGTATATCCCTTCTAGTAAAAAGGAGTGTTTCTGGGATTGCTCCATGCACTGTACATTTCTTGAGTGAAATTTCATTTCACAGAGGATTAGCAGAGTTACAGCAAAGAAACTTCACTTTCAAAGAAATTTCTACATCAAGGCCCTGTTCTACGTGGTAAGCCTTCTAGTTGATAGTTTCCATTAGAGGCCTTTAAGATTGGCTTTCATACAAAACACTCAGAAATCTGAAATGATTTAAGAAAGTCTTAACAGCCCTACAAAACTGATCTGTACAAGAGCATCCATTTCAAAAGCCATACACCAGCCAAGAACAAATAACAACAGACAGGTCTTTCCAACTGTGAAAAATGATAAACACTGAAGATTTATACTGCCCTTCACAGATTGGCATAACTGGAAGAACAGGAGCTGGAAAGTCTACTCTTGCTGCAGGATTGCTGCGACTAGTGGAAGCTGCAGAAGGAGCAATTCTAATTGATGGACAAGACATTGCCCAGCTAGGTCTCCACGACCTTAGAATGAAGATAACTGTCATCCCCCAGGTATTATACTAATTTACAGAGTTTTTCAGCAGAGCTATAAATCTTAACACATAGAAGGAGTTTAGAAAGAGTCTGTGAGAAGGAAAACCTTCTGAAATTTCTGTTGGAAAGAACCTCTAGACCATTCCAGTCTCCCATCCCACATAAAATCAGCCACAGACTTATACTCAGCTCAGAAAACTGATAATATCATTCATTTCAGCAGTTGTCTGTCTCTGTGTTCAGGATCCAGTTTTGTTTTCTGGCACTCTAAGAATGAATCTTGACCCATTAAACCAATACACTGATGCAGACATCTGGACAGCTCTGGAACTGACTCAGCTCAAGAACTTTGTTGCAGATTTGCCAGAGCAGTTGGAATATGAGTGCACTGACCAAGGGGAAAACCTAAGGTACCTTATCTTCAGAAAGACAGTGGTGGGGCTGTACCAGCCTGTGGGCTAGGAGGACATGCAACTAGCAGGACAAGGAGTCTAATTTATAATAAGTAAATAAATAAGGGGGGGATGGGGCAATACCCATACAGCAAATTATTGCATGACTGGCATAACTGATAGCATTAAATAACTGAGAGTGGAGAACCTCTGAATCACTGCAACCTGTGTTTGTGCAGTGCTTTATGTGCTGAAATACCTGCAGGTCATCTGAGTGCCACAGTAATACCCAGCTTTCGTTTTCTTAGCTTCATGTTTCATGCTGTTACCTGCAGTGCCACCAGCCTTAATCACCCTCTCATTATTGATTTCAAATTAATCATGTCCTCTGACCCCAGGAAAAAATGACTGCTGCTTTTAATTTACCATCTCTCTTCTTACTTGCAGCACTGGTCAGAAGCAGCTGGTTTGCCTGGCCAGAGCACTTCTTCAGAAAGCCAAAGTCCTCATTCTAGATGAGGCCACAGCAGCAATAGATATAGAAACTGATCTTCAGATTCAGTCTGCTCTGAGAACTCAATTCAAAGAGAGCACAGTGTTAACAATAGCTCACCGGATAAACACCATCATGGACTGTGACAGGTAATGTTTTCAGCTGCTTTCCTAAGGAGGAAGGAAAATTCAGGCAGCCTGTATGAACTAGACAATATTCGAGAGAACAATTCCATTTCTGTCCTTTCCTTGCTTAACCCTCAAAGCTTTGCTATAGATCTTAGGAGCTATCTTACATCAACAAGTCAACAGTAGGTTAACTAAAAGATTGTTTATGCCTATACGATGCATTTCAAGCCCTATCATACCCTTTTTTTCCCACATAGTGCTACAGTTTATTTCAGAAACAAGTACCTATAGCTCAGTTTCTTGCAGTTGCTGGTATCCTCCCAACTTCATACTTCCGTTTTATTGTTCACAGGATTTTAGTCTTGGAAGATGGTCAGATAGCTGAATTTGATACTCCGAAACAATTAATAGCTCAGAAGGGACTATTCTACAAGCTAATGGAAGAATCGGGTCTTGCTTGACTGACTGATGGAGTACACCATCATGCCTCCACTATCATAAGTTACTGATCTGCTAATTGAGTTATCATCTTGGTTTTATTCTAAAATGCCTGACATTCAACTACATCTTGTTTGAGCTACAACTGCAGTGAGTAGATGAAAAGGGAAGACCTGAGATACACGTTATTTCCTTAGGAAACTGAGCCATTCTGTTTTTATTATGTTTCCAGATACCAAAACCTCACTCTTACCTTGAAAATAAGTGTCAGAATCTTCAAATTAAACACCTTACTGCTTTTATGGTATGAAAACTAACCAAAGAACCACAGCATTTCCCAATTATGCTATAAATTGAGCCTGAATACACTGACATACTTAAGGACTACACAGGTTATTTTTAAAAGCCAAGATTTCCTAGAGAGTAAGATTTGAATTGATAGCAAGCAAACTATGTTTACATTTTATCCAAAGCTCCAGGCAGAACAAATTGAGCCTTTTGCCAAAGTCTTAAGAACTGATCACCTAAGCACTGTTCTTACACAAATGTGGTAGACTCCCCAGCAGCAACTGGATGAAGTCATCCAAAGTGCAAAAACTCAGGGGAATAGGGAAGAGAAAGTAGGAGGCCACTAAGCATGACAGCACACAGCTGCCTCTGTGCTGCCTGTTGTCACAGCCAGTGATCAGATCCATTCCATCTCCCTCATCTGCTTTGCATGGGATCTGACTGAATCATGCTGTGTGGAAGGCTGACAACTCGCCTGAAGGAAAGCCAACTTAAAGAAAGTAGTAACTGAGCTGTTAGGGGGCAGCAGAACATCATTCACCGTATTTGAAGTCCCAGTCACAGCACAGTGCATCCAAACTCGGACACCAGTATTTCCAAATTGAATTTCGTCATGATGAATTTCTGTGGCAGTGTCCTGCAGTGTGACAGTCTGGCAGACGGGCAAAGGTTCATGTTTTACGTGGTTCATTCTTGGCTTTCTCCTGGAGTGCAAGCTTACCTCCTGTGCGTACCACCCTGGCACCACATCTCTCAGGTATTACTTCAACAAACCAAAATGGCTGCCTGAAGCAAAGCCTTCCTGGGCTTCCCACAGCACCGAGCTGCTGTCAGAGCTGCCCCCAAGTCTTTCTTCAGGGACTGCAACAGGACAACATGGTGAGAAAATCACACTGTGAAATGCTGCTGTTTACTATCACCTTCATGAACGCATTTCATTTGCCAGAAAGCTGCAATAAAGACAGAAGCAGGTATTAAAATGGCTCAGGTCACAAGTAAGGATGGAGAGTGAGAAAAGTCAAATGCCTGCTGCCTTACTGCTATTAAAATACTAGCAAAAAAAAAAAAAAAAAGTTGTTCATTTGTTTTTTCCTACTTTCTCCAAACCAATATTTGTGGTTAAATAGAGTATCACAGAGCAGAGCAGAGCCAAAATGATTCAAATACCAGATAAGTAATGAGAACCCTTGAGATTTATCAGTGGATCTCAAAGCAAAAACATTTAAAGCTCTAAGTGGGATGTAAGAATGTAAGGTAGGTGTTTTGTTCAACTGGGGTCAAGGCGAAGTTGAACCACTGGTGTTCTGGGCAGTTCTGAAGGAGACATCTTAACATACTGTATGTGTGGTGATGGTAGGAACATTTTTTAAATGCTTGCTTTCCAATGCTAAGTTGGTAATGAAGAAAGAAGGCAACAGAAGGAGAAAATAATCAAAACATACTTTGATAATCTTTGAGCAGGTGCTGTTTAGCTATCGGCAGAAAGCAAAAATACCATCAGCTTTCACACAGAAAGCTGTGCTGAAACGGCACAGCAAATGAATTCCCAAACTACATGTGACCAAAAAAACCCAACAATCTGTATTTAAAATGAGTAAGAATCCCCAGTTGTTTGTCCACGTGGTATTCTAAGTGACAAATGAGGAATTCGGGTCTCACAGAAAAGGGCTTTTTTTTTTTTTTTTTTTTTTTCCCCTTTAAAGAAAACAAGCTCTTCTAGATGTAAATTGTATTCCTGGTAGAAGTGATCCATAGAGCAAAGCATGGAATGAAACAGAAAACAAACAGCCTTTCTCTACAGAAGAGCAAGGATGTTAAGTTCGGCCACTTATTTTTGGGTCTGATAGGTATTTGGCAGATTTTACACAGAACACACATAAATTGCCAGTAATGTAGCCAAATAACATTTCCAGTTTTTCTGCTGATCTGAATGAAATCAATTTCATTGCTTTTACAGAAAGAAAAACAAAGTTGGGACTGGGTGAGGGAGCAAGGAGGAAGTTCCCCTATCTATAGAATCACAAGATGACCAACTATGGCAAATGATTCCCCCTTCACCTGGAAAAGGCCTGGAGGATGAGGACAGGATGAACTCAGTCCATTCCCCAGCAATACACGGCAGGGAATTCCTGTTCTACAGCAGCTGGCTGAGGGTGCCCACCTCACATATTTCACAAGAACTGTTCATTGTAATACCAGCTCCCAGTGCAGTTAGTAACCCCTCCCCTTAAGTCTTCACAGCACAAAGGGAAATATAAAAACACACGCATCAACATCAAGGCCATCAAGGCAAAGTAAGTAGATGAAACAGACGTTTGCTAAGTGACTGTGCTCAGCTGCTGGAATTCATCACCACATCCATGAATGTCATAGCGACCTTTCTTCTTTTGTTTTTCCCCTTTCTCTCTACTAACCTCTAGAGCTCATTGCCCTGAGCTGTAACACCACTGATCGCTGCTGGATGGCATCAAACTCTTTTGCACTGGATCACAGAAAGGCTTCAGTCAGTGGCACAATGTCGCAAGCTGCCATGCTAGATTTCACTTACCCTGGTCTTGAAACCGTCCAGGAACTAGAAGAGCATTAGATGCAAACACAAGCACAACAACGAAAACAGATTAACTAAGGAAAACACACTGTATCTTACCTTGCAGCAACTTCTATCATTTTCTGCAACTGCTCCCAACAGCGATGCCTGCAGAGGCCACTACATGGACCTCTCCTTCCTGCCTGAAAGCAGATCTCTCTCAGCTGCACTGCTACCATAAGGCACCCTGAAGACTACACGACACTCATGCACACACATTCTGTGGAAAGAAAACTGCATTTGTTATCTTTGCACACAGTAAAGGTTAATATAGACGGATCCCCATCATGCATAATGCAATGTCATTCAAGCTGCATTCAGATATTAATAATTTTTATGAGGACTACATGGAATCAGGATCATTAATCAATAGAACAATAGCACAAAGCACCAGCGGGTGTTCTGACCAAGCAAAAGTGACTGTGCTCCAGAGCTGGGACAGAACGATTTGTGCTTGCAAGTGTATAAATATGTAAAACTGGGAAAACAGTGACACTTAGTAGCAACTACTTAATTGAAAAAGAATAAGACACACAAAGACCAGTATTCTGACCCTTGTTGCTTTATAAAAAGTTATCCACAAAATGCAGCCTGCCTTTGAGAAGCGCAGTACACCCTCAACAATCATGCACAGCATATAAACAGAGCTGAGAATAACTAATATTACTGTCTAGTGCATCCAGTCTGACACAGCAAATGCAGTTTAAGTCATTCTCACACGCACAATTCTACTGTGAGCACATGGTATAGCAGAAACTTAATTCTGCAATCTCTGTATTTCAAAGAGACATTTATTCCAAGTGCAATTCCACTGTACAGGACTTACTCAGATAGTAAGGTTGTAAATCTCATTTATTCAGGAAGAGTAAAGACACCACTCTGTTCCCATCTGCTCCAGTTTTCCCTTCCATCACAAGGCTGGAGGAAGTTAACAGCAAACTGTGGTGTTAACAGCACACACGTGGTGCGCCCAGGCAAAGGACACAGACACAAAGAATCTTCTCTACAGCACTTCCTGTACTGACCTCTCATTATTACTCATCTGCACAGCAAACTGCGTTACTGAAAGTTTCTTAGCCACCCTAACAACCTCCAAGCATGAGTTCTAACAAGTCTAGTCAGTCTCTGCAGTACCAGTAATTCCTGTTTTCAAGGGAAAAAAAAAACCAACAAAACCAAACCCCACAAACAACCAAAGTTAAGCCTTTGTCAAAAACAAAGCAAGGAACAACACACCATGTTATCTTTCAAACTTTTTTTTTTACTGCAAGTTCTTTGTAAATATTCAAATAGTAATTACAAAAAATACCAAAGAAAATTTCAGTCTATTCAATTTTGGAGAGTCATAATAATTTACAAAAAAATAAATAGCTTTACTCTAAAGAAGACAACTGCCTAGTATTAAGGTCAACAACATTCACAGAAGTCCACATTCTCAGAGTACTGAATATTTGGATCCATCTGGCTTACTTTGCCTTTTTCCAGCATTTTCCTCTAAAATGAGACAAATTAAAATATGAGAAATAAAACTTTTTTCTTTGCACAGAAAACTGAACATTCAACAAAGACTTCAAAAACCAGACTCCACTGCTAATCGAATTGTTAGAGCTCTGACACACAACTTGAAAAACAGAAAAACAGTTCTTTGCTTTTGGGTTTTTTGGTGCTGGGGTATTTTTTGGCTGGTTGTTGTTGATTTTAACTACTGTCACAGAATAGTCTCCCAGAAGATTTAAGAGTCAACAGGAGCAGCATGAAGGGCGAGTTTCTTCAACGTAAGGCTAACGGTCCTTGATGTAGCAGAACTTCTATTAAAGCACAAAACTGCCAAAGCCAGGGGTATCACAGCATTACGTTGAGCCTGCAACCTCTGCTCAGGTCAGTCCTCACTTCTCAGCCTAGCCCCACAGGCATAACCAGAATTCTCCACCCAAGTCAGAATTCCTGAGTGAACCGGGTGTAAAAACATGCACTGTATTTTGCAACAGACCAACTGATGCTAGAGTTGGCTTTTGGAGTGATCATCATTCCAAATATGCTTGAATACTGCTCTGAAGTTGACATTGAGGTGCTTTTTCCACATCAGCACTACTGACATAGTGAACTTGCTGCTATACAACGTAAACACATGTAAAATCTTTAGGAGAATGCATAGAAGCATTAACCATGTACAGTAAATGCCATAATGAGAAAACCTGGCACGTGCATTACTTCACAAGAAGAAAATCTTTGGACGTTAGGACTATATGCCACAAAATGTTCCAAGTGCATATCACAATAGATGGCTCATCAAATGAGGAATCAGCAAAGTAAATAACTAGCATTTGCAAAAATACTTAAAACAAAAATGGGTTTGAGGACATAAGAGCAGATGAAAAGAAAAAGCTTTCAAGAATTTCTCTGATGAATCACTCCACCTTACATTTGAGCATATAATGACAGATGTCAGGCAAGAACTAAAAGACTACAAAGTGTTTCGCAGAGTTTATACGCTTCTCCTAAAGCTGGCTAAAAAAATCAATAACCAGGAGAAGAAAAAAATATTGCATTTTCATGTTACTTCCACTGCTGTGCTGTGGCTGACTTCATTAGGTCTGTAACCGAATTCACACCAGCTCAGAGGAAATTACATTTGTTTGAGTGCATCACCTCCCCCTTCTCCATTCAAATCCTATGCCAATCCTGAGTCTTTGGCCATGCTATAAAAAAGGCCCTTTGCCTGAAGTAGGTTGTCTGGGCTATCACACTCCACCACTTCACCTCTGTCCAGGACTAAAACTCTGTAAAACAAGAAACAAGAAAAAGTCACAAGAAGGTCAAAATGTCAGTGAATATGTAGTATATCTAGACAGAGAAATGAACTGTAACATAGCTACTCTATGCAAGGGAAGACAGTCCAGACTGAATGAGCGAAGAGAGATTTTCACCTCCATCCTTCCATCCTCACTGCAGAAGACATGTCTGGTCTATTTCTTATATAACAGGCAGACATGAGACTTCAGTATGCGCCGAGCCAACCAGAAAATAGGTGGCAGCACTCTCTCTCTCAAATTAAGAGCCACTGAAACATTTTAGGAGATTTTAATATTCCCCTAACACTACCACGTAACCGCTGCGATGCAGCTTCTGCTGACAAAATATAAACATGCACATACAGCTTAGGGAATGCAAACATACAACTGTAACTAGGAAATTCACAAAGCAAGTCAGTACATTCAAAATCAGAGCAGTTCAAAGTGTCCTTCACCTACCTCCACCAATGGGCCAGGCACTGCAGATGCTGGCCAGGCCCTTAGGCAAGTGCTGCTGCTGCATGGTGTTACTGGCTGCCACAACCAAACTGGGTGTTAATCTGGTGACAGTGGCACACGTAATGGCTTTCTCTTATCTTTCAGTATTGACAGTGCAAAGGTGTACAAGAGCAAACAATGTTATCAGAGGTCACTCTGCTCTCTGACATATTGTGATAAAAAGGACAAGAGAGCT